AACCTCCCCTGGCTTCCGTTGGGTCCCCTCCAGCGTCTCCTGCCGTGACCCAAGGAGGCGTGGCTTCAGGGAGGCTTGACCCCGAGGGAGGCGTCACGTGACCAGGTTCCTCCAGCCAGGCAGGACTTGGTTGTCGGTGTGTTTGTGTGCGTTTGTGTGTCCGTGTGTGTGTTAGGACTCGGCCTGACTTGGAGGACGTAGAAAAGAGAGAATTAAAATATAGATTAAAAACAACTAAACGAAGATTTGATTTTTGGATTTAGTGTGTATTAGAAATAGATTTTTTTCCTTCAAAATCTAGATAAAGGATATTAAAAGTGAAAAAAAACGTGACCCAAGAAAACAAAAACAAAAACAAAAAAATCAGAAGAGAGGAAGATTTTTTTTTTCGAGAAATCTTACCGAATCTCAAGTGAACGCGACCCAGAGAAAAAAAAAAAGATAAATTGATGGCGACCGAACAGCAGTGAAAAAAGCCTTCCTCGGAACGACTCTGAAGGGAGAGGAATTCCCACGACATCTGCTAAAAGAAATTCGGAAAAGGGAACGCCAAGATGCCCGGTTTGGACGCCCTTATTGCCCTCAAAGATCGGGCTAAGGAGGTCAAGCAGGTGCTGGTCAGGTGAGTGTGAACTATCTTATATGTCTTATCTTTGTTATTATTATTATTATCATTATTATTATTATTATTATTATCATTATTATTATTATTATTATTATTATTATTATTATTATTATTATTATTATTATTATTATTATTATTATCATCTTCTTTTCTTCTTCTTCTTCTTCTTATCATCATCATCATTATTACTATTATTATGATTAATGTTATTATTATTATCATTTTTTGTTATTTAGATTTTCATAAATGTTAATATGATTATTATCATAGTTATTTTTGTTCGTATTATCATTAATTGATATGATTTTTATCATATTTGTATTAATATCATTATCATTATATTTCTGCTATTATCATTATTATCACCATCTTTGTTATTGCTGTTGTATTTTTATCATTATCAATATTATCATTATTATCATTATCATCATCACTGTTATTATTATTATCGTTGTCATCATAAATATTACTATTATTGTTATTTTGTTATTATCATTATCATTATTACCGTTGTTGCTGCTACAGTTGTTATTGTTACAATTATTGTTATCATTGTTATCTTTATCACCAACACCACCCTGTGGCATCGTCATCACCATCATCACTACCATCATCAGCATCATTGTTATCCTTACCATTATTGCTGTAATTATCGATACTATCATATCTTGCTTGCACCGTGAAGGAAGAAGTGTGGTGCCTGAGTCGAAACGCAGAAGGTACCGCTAAATCACGTACTTTACTTGAGAAATATTTTGCGGTTTTACTATAACAAATATATTTCAAAATCGTTTCCCTTTGACAGTCTTCAGCGCATCATCTATTCACTATCATCACCATTGTTCGTATTATTACGATCATTCTTTGCAGGAGGTCAGGTCGGGTCATCTGTGTGACCTTGGTCGACCTTGGCACATTCTTTTATGAGAAAGATATGAAATAATTGAAAGATTATGATTGTATATAATTGATATTTAATTTTGGATTGAAGTTCATGTATGTTATAAGTGCAAAGATGATTTACTGTTAATTGCAATATATTTCACATTAGTAATGAAAAGCGGAAGGCAAGCCAAAGATAACAAATGAGAAAAAAGAAAATAAGGATTAACGGAAGAGAGAAAAGAAAAATATTCTAAAGACAGGCAAATGGCAAGGGGAAGATGAGAAAATCAGAAATTAATGTGAATTATTTTTTGTTATATAGCGGAAACAAAGCAAATTTCCCCTATTTTCTTACACGATATTACGACATTATCGATATCATACTTGAAATCTAAATCTGATGAAGCTGCAAAATATCCAGCGTGTGAAGACATATTAATCGCTAAATGTTAACAGGAATGAGATGAAAATCCTTAGTTAACTTCGGCGTCACCAAAAATATTTAAAAATTATAAGGGAATCGGGAATCGCAAAAGAAAAAAAAGAAAGAAAAAACTGTATGTGTGTGTGTGTGTGTGAATGTGTGCGTGTCCGTACGTGCGTGTGTGTGTGTGTGTGTGATTTAATTCTATAGCATCCTTTGCTTTGAACAGCATAGAGCTAAGTCATTATGTAGTATAATGCAGTGACTATAGCATCCTTTGGCAACAATAGAGTAAGTTCATACTATGTAAAATATAATAGGTGCCAATTTGCAAGGACTTCAGATCCGACAATGAGTGTAGCGTTTGTACGACATAGGCCTATGAGACTACTGTGCCAATTCCATAGCAACGTGTGTTTAATACGACATAGGCCTATGAGCGTCGTGCGTTTATGTAGTGAGACTGCCAATTCATAGCATCGTGCATATAGTACAACACAGGACTATGAGACTACTATGCCAATTCATAGCATCGTGCGTTTAGTACAACGCAGGACTATGAGACTACTATGCCAATTCATAGCAGTCAGAGGCCTATGAGACTACTATGCCAATTCATAGCATCGTGCGTTTAGTACAACGCAGGACTATGAGACTACTATGCCAGTTCATAGCATCGTGCGTTTAGTACAACACAGGCCTATGAGTGCCAATTCATAGCATCGTGCGTTTAGTTATGGACTACTATGCCAGTTCATAGCATCGTGCGTTTAGTACAACACAGGCCTATGAGACTACTATGCCAATTCATAGCATCGTGTGTTTAGTACAACACAGGCCTATGAGACTACTATGCCAATTCATAGCATCGTGCGTTTAGTACGACACAAAACTTAACATAAACTCCTCAGTAGTGCAAGAATTACTCTTTTAATTCTCTCTTTTATTTCTTCCGTCTCTTTTTTTCTAAACTAGTGGCCTTTATTCACTTCAGATAAAAAGAAAAAGATTTATCAGTGTGTAGATTCCAAATTAAGAAAAATTGGCACTGTATGTTAAAATTGCTTGTGATTGCCTTAGAGTTTTATAATGTGATCCATTTCACGAGAACACTGCATATTTTGGTCGTTATCCTAAATACTATGTTTTTTAAAGGGAGTAAAGGTATATTCACAGAAAAAAATGATTATAACGAGGAATATTATTTACTGTAAAAAATTGTAATTTATGGGAGGGAAAAAGGAATATAAAAAAGTGAGTATTGAAATTATAATATGGTTTCATATCTATTTAGATAACTTTACTTGTATAGTGGGCGAAATGCCTAACTCATGACTTTTAAATGTTCAGTCTCCAGAATTAAATTTTCACTACTTTTGTGAAATAATAATTATTTGAAACTTTACCTCACTAGAAATTCTTATTGAAACCAAAACCAAACTTTTATAACCAATTCTTACTCTGATTTATTTTTATTATTATTATCATTATCATTATTACAATTATTATCACTATTATTATGTTTGCACCGTGGCTTAATTTTACAGCGTTTAATATATTCGATGTTTTTCATAGGCCTATTATACTCGAAAACAAAGTCAGATACAGTGAACGTCTGTAACAAGCATTGGAAAACGATAAAACAGAAAGGAAAAAGTGAAGAAATTCTAAATCGCCATTAATCCTGTCTCTAAAAAGTGGTAAAGTAATCCGTTTACCTTGCGTGGGGAGATTTTTGTTCTTCCACGGAGGCTGAGAAATCGCATCCTGATTTTGGGATGTGCTTCTTGCGGGTTTTGGTATTATTTGTCTGGTTATTGCGGTTTGCGTATTTTGGTATTTTTCGGTCATTTTGGTCATTGCGGATTTTGGTATTTCCTGATTTCGGTCATTGCGGAGTCTGGTCATTGCGGATTTTGGTATCGCGGATTTTCGTCATTGCGGATTATAGTATTCCGGATTTCGGTCATGGCGGATTTTGGTCATTCCGGATTTTCGGTCCATTCATTCCGGATTTTGGTCATTGCGGGTTTTTGGTATTCCGGATTACGAATTCGGCAATCGCAGATTTCGTTTTTATGGATTTAATTGCTATAGATTTGATCATTGTGTATTGATTATTAAGGGTTTGATTATCAGAAATCATGTCCTTTGGAGTTTTAGGAGTTTCAGTATTGCAGATTTTGGCCTATCACAGATTTATCAATTACGGATTTGGCCATTGCATACTTACGTTTTCCTATTACAGGCTGTATAAAAATGGGACTTTTAGTGTGGTTAGAATATAACATCTCGTTACTTCTTATCAGAGGAATTAATTTTATTGAAACTGACATAGATAAATCGAAAGGCATTCCAGCTTTTATAAGGGCGTGATTGGCATAGATGATTCTTGAGATATATGCAATCAGTCCTACGGTTTTGATGTCCGTGGAAGAGTGGCATAAAGACCATGCGCTGGTCTGGTCTTTATGCCTACGTGTCGCTGATTGAAAGGTAAAGAGGGTGATGCGAGATGAAGTAGATAAAGAAAGTAGAAGGGAAGGAAGATGAAAGACATGATGATGATGCTGATGAAGGAGAAGGAGAAAGAGAAGGAGGAGGAGAAAGAGATGAAGGAGAAGGAGAAGAAGGAGAAGGAGAAGGAGAAAGAGAAAGAGAAGGAGGAGGAGAAGGAGATGAAGGAGAAGGAGAGAAGGAGAGAGGAGAAGAAGGAGAAGGAGAAAGAGAAAGAGAGGGAGGAGAAGAGAAGGAAGAGAAGGAGAAGGAGAAGAGAAGGAGAATGAGAAAGAGAAGGAGAAAGAGAAGAGAAGGAGAAAGAAGGAGGAGAAGAGAAAGGAGAAGGAGAAAGAGAAGGAGAAGGAGTATAGATGAAATAGAATAGAAGAAGACAGGTGCTTCTGATAGCCTTAGAACTCCTTGAAAGACATGTCAATCTTTCAGTAATTAAGATGAAAGTTCATCGACTTTTGAATTATATTACATTCACACAATAACGAAGAAACAATAAAAACTAAAGTTTTAGTCTGATTCATTTGAACTTGGGTTTGTTTAGTGATATGTATTAAAAAGAAAAATATTTTTGTAAATATGTATATGTGATAGCACTATCACCACTTTAGGCATTTGTTAAAGTTTGAAAGTCTTAATGAGAATAAAAAGTGAGAGGCAGGGAGGGAGAGAGGGAAGGAAGGAAAGAAGGAGAGAGAGGGAGGGAGGGAAGGGAGGAGTGAGGGAAGAAAGGAGGGAGGAAGAGAGGAAGGGAGGGAGAGAGATATTATCATCTTCGTTACGTTTACACGCTATCAAAAAAAAAAAAAAAAGAAAAAAATGGTCGAATGTTTTTTCTCCGACGTAGATATACCTTGACATCAACCTCTCTACGAATCCAACACCGGTTACGCATTACTGAGCAGTTCCTTGGGATGTAGTGTAATATGATACGAGATTTGCGAGGGTGCCAATAACGGGGACATTAGATATCCTGCAGCGTGTGTGTTCAGATCCGAAAACAGATCCATTACGTAACTGGTGGCACTTGTATTACGAAACAGAAAGTTGTATTTCGATCGTTGTGGCAAATACCGAAAGAAAATATCTGAACGAGAAGGAATACGTTTAAAGAGATGTGCGATTAACATTTCGATGATTGTATCTTCATCTGAATTAATTACGATGGAAGTAAATG